AAAAAAAAGGGGGGGTTGCACCTCACCACGCAATTGCAAGCTAAACAAGAGAGATACGTTGTGGTTGTGGCAATGATTAGAAGACTCCTGTGATACATTTTCATTTGGGTTCCAGTACCCTGGCTTTGTTTTTGAGGAACGCGATGGCTCAGTGGCCAAGACGCTGAGCTTGTCGATCAGAAAGGTCAGCAGTTTGGCAGTTCAAATCCCTAGTGCTACTTATCGGAGGGAGCTTCCATGACTTGTCCCAGCTTCTGCCAACCTAGCAGTTCAAAAGCACGTAAAAATGCAAGTAGGAAAACAGGAGCCACCTTAGGTGGGAAGGGAACAGTGTTCTGTGCGCCTTGGGTGTTGACTCATGCCGGCAATATGACCACAGAGACCTTTTCAGACAGCGCTGGCTCTTTGAAACGGAGATGAGCACCACCCCCTAGAGTCGGGAACGACTAGAACATATGTGCGAGGGGAACCTTTCCCTTTGCTTTGGGGGATTGAGAGAAAGTTCTCCTCTCTTCCTCACACAGACACTGGCTAGCAAACATGCAGTTTTAACCCTGGTCAGAGAGGTGAAGGCTGGCAGACTCAGGCCCTGGCTCTTGGCAGCCTTGGCCTCTGCCCTGCTCTCAGGGGGCCAGCCTAGCCCCCAGCAGCAGGGTAGCCCCATCTATTCCTCTGCCAGGCTGGCCCTTGCTCTGGAGCCGAGGGTTTGCGTTGCCACTGCCACCGGCTTCCCCTGTGTTCTCCCCTGAGCAGGAGCCAGGACCTGTGGAGGCCAGACGTCCCACGGGAGAAGCGCTGCCTGCTGAATGCCTGTCTCTTCCCTGTGCTCTGCTTCTCGGAGACCCTGGGCCTCGGGGACCTCTTGTGGCTCTTGGGCTCTCCAGAGCCGCAGCAGCTGCAGTCCTGGAGGAAGGCCTGGCGCATGTCCTGGGAGGAGATGAGGGCCTGTCTGGACCAGGAGGCCGAACTGGCCTCCCGCAGGGCCCTCTTTTTCCTACAGGCCCAGCGCAAAATCCAGCGGGTCCTGAGGGAGCAGAGGAATTGCAGCCTCCTGCCCCTGATCCGCTCGGCTGTCCTGGAGGGCTTTGGGGAGGCTCTGCTGGATACACTGGACCAGGGTAAGGAAGCGTGTCTGGGGTTCCTACAAATCCCCCCATTTGCCGGCCTCTGTCTCAGGCCGAGCCTGTTCCTTTGCCAGGCCACCCTAGGAGGTTGGAGGGGGAAGAATGTCCTTTGGCCCAGCCCTTTGCCCAGGCCCCTGGGGGGACGTGTGTGCCAATGGGGCAGGAGAGGGAGAACTCTTGGCTCTGCTTCCTCCCTAGTGGCTGCCACCGCTGGGGATCTGGGGGTTGCTGCTCGGGCCCTGGCCTGCATCGCAGATCTCCTGGGCTGCATGGCCAGAGGAGAGGGGGGGTTACGGAGTGGCCCCACCGCCAACCTTGCTTGGGCCACTGCCTTCCAGCAACTGGAGAAGGGAGACATCGCTCAGGGCGTAAAGGCACTTGCTGTGGAGAGGAAGAAATGGTTAAGCAGGTACTGGAAGGGGGATGGGGGAGAGATACAGGGCAGTCTCTGCAGATCTGCCAAGGCTTCCCACACCTGTGCTTGGGGGACCCTGTTTGTCTGCCCCAGAGCTGCCTGGAAAGACCCCTTCCCAATGGCAGGCAGCTGGCATCTACTGCTCTGCCCCAAGCACCTGAGCCATTTGCGGGAGGCTGTGCAGCACATGTGCCAGGGGATGGGGAAGAAACGCTTCACCCCTGCCAGCCTTCCTTGCAGCCAGGAGGCCCTTGGAGGGGTCCAGTAGGGCTGCCATGCTCCAGTGGCTCTGGGGAAATTGCTCCGCTTTTTGGGAACGTGTCTCTGAGGGCAGCACAATCTCCAGGCTCTTTCCAAAGGGGATATGCCCGCCAGAGGCTCCCAGCAGCCTGGTTCCCCTCCTCTTCCAGACCCATCCTGCTGGTTCGCGCTGCCCGACACTACGAGGGGGCCGAGCAGATTCTCATCCGCCGGGCCATCCTGCTCTCCTGCCAGTTCATTGGCCTCTGGCAAGTGGAACTGCCTCCCCTGGGCTGCTGGGTGAGAGTGGAGTGCCCTGCACGGATTGACCTCTCTGGTAGGTGACAAGGGCAGAGGCTCTGTGGATGCCTGCCGAGAGGAGCTGGCCCACCTGGGGCCCAGACTGATCCCCTGCACTAAAAATACCTGGCTAAAATCTGTATGGTTTCCAGCTTGGGAGGAGCAAGGGCCTGGGGGCAGTTGGGGTCACTAATAGGGGTGGGTTGGCATGTGCGGAAAGCCCTGAGCAGGCCACGGCCAGAAGATGCCTCATTCAGGCCACGTCGATCTCCAAGGACTGTCCTCCGTCCAGGCCACTGCTTGGTTCTTGTGCAGGAGATGCAGCGCAAGGAAACTTCTCCAAAACTTTATTCCCCAGGAACTCCTCCGACTGTTTTGCCACCAGGTTTTGTGTCAGCCCTAAAGCCCAACAATCATTGCTGGTTGTGGAGAACATGACTTACTCCTAGTGCCAATACTTCTCCAGGCTTCCTCCTCTTCCTCCTAATCTTGCTGAAGGCAATTTGAAATTCCTGCCATCAACTTCTCACTGTGTGCAAACTCTACATGGAGTAGAGTTTCTGTAGTAGTGGCAGCTCTGCAACATTCTCTGCCTGTGGACAAAGGCAGCAAGAAGTCTGCATCATCTTACGCCCTTCAAGAGCCTTCACTTTCTGCCCAGCCCATCTTTCTTGACCATTTGTAGCCTCAAAGTTCTTCCTAGCTTTCACTAGATCCGTTTCAGAATTGTGACCAAATCATGCCTGGTGTGCCCAGGTGAGGCTTGAGCCAAGAAATCCCAGCAGCTGTAAAAGAAATGTAGACGCTCAAGCTTTGTCAATGGGTTCTATCTGATGACCTTTGGTAACAGGACCGGTGTTTTCTAGGGGGCTGGAGTGATACCCCTCCAATCACGTATGAACACGGTGGAGCAGTGGTGGATGTGGCTGTCCTGGTGGACGGCTGTAGGCCTATTGGTGCCCAGGCCCGACGCATTGCCAAACCAGAATTGCAGCTGATCAGCACCAGTGGAAGTCTGGAGGGAGAGGTGGCGGTGGAGTTGGTCTGTCGTGACCTAGAGGATCTGAGGGATTACTGCCAGCCACACATGCCAGGTGAGAACCTACCTCTTCCGGCCAGCTGTCCCTCCCTCTAGCCAGAAAGGAATCAGAATATGGAGCCAAAAAAAAAGTGGGGGGGTTTGCCATGTTGTCCTGGGGAGTCTGGAGCGGTTGTGTCTCAGCCAAGATGTCATTTGGCAGAGAATTTTCACCCAACTTGAATAACACCCAGGACATGTTTATAGCTTGATTGACTTGGTTCTCCTGCCATTTGAGATGCCCTGTGAATTGTGCCCAATGCTCTGTCCCTCCTATTCTGAAACATTGTCATGGTGGTGGTGCCCCAGTGGGGGAGGCCTTTAGGCTCCCTCCCCTCTTTCCCTGCATCAGAAGCCTTCAGGATCTTTCCCTGGTCTTGGCCAATGGTCTTGGCCTGCTCCTCAGTTCAGGCTTCCTTGCACCTGGGCTCTCAAGCAAAGGGCCAGGGTAGGTTTGAGGGGCTTGGCTGGCCATCCTCTCCGGTCCTTGCTGCAATTCCATCTCTTCTTCCAGGAGCCTTGCTCAAAGCTGCCTTGGTCTGCACTCAGATTGTTAATCTCCTGTCCCCGCAAACCTTGCGAGAACAGCTGCAGGAACGATTCGGAGGTGGCTTTGAGCTTCACACCTGGTCTCATCTGCCCCATGGATCGGGCTTGGGTAAGTGGGGGCTCTCAGCCTGCTGTGGGTTGGTTGAGAGCCAAGCAAGCCATGGAAATTGCTTTTCTTTACTTTATCATTCATTCATTCTCAATAAAATAGAAGATTTGTAGCTCAGGGTTGAATTGAGGGGTCCTTGGTGCTCTCTCAGCTTGTTGGCACTAGCACTGGCCACTGAGACCTAGTTTGGCTAATGAAACATTTGCAAGAAACAACTAAGCTCATAAGAGCATCAAAGACCCCTCATCCATCCACCCATCCACCCACCCACCTAGCTGCCCATCCCAATTCTGGGTGGCTTATAATGAAAATGTGAACAGTGCCAAATGATTCCCCCAAAGGAAAACAACAATGCAGGGAAAGGAAACCGTGCAAAAGAATCCGGATTTCCGCGAAGGAGCCCCTGGGAAAGCAGGGCCACATCTCCAGGCCAGATGGCCAAAGCAGCCCTTCAGGTCCTTCCAGAGGTCCAAGAGGTTCCTGGCCAGGCTGACCTGGGGAAAGCGGGGGGGGGGGGAATGAGGCTGGTGCAATAGGCAGCAGCTGCCTCTTCCCATTACTCCCTCTCAGGCTGTTAGCCCTGATCACCAAGCCCGCCATTTTGTGTAGAGGATGGCTCTGAGAACTAATTCTGGGGAAGATTCCCAAAGCTTTTCCCAAATGATCCGCCTCCCCATCAGGGTCTTCCAGCTCTGAGGTTTTTTGAGAACTGAATCCCCCCCCCCGGAGAATCTGATGGTCAAGCGCCGTCCTTCTTGTCCGTTTGGGGCCTCCGTGTGGAGGCTCCCTTTTCCCTAGGCCACATTTGTGTTGCTTTGCATTCTTCCACAGGGACAAGCAGCATCCTGGCAGGTGCAGTGATCGCATCCCTCTATCGCGTATCTGGGCGTTGCGCTGGTGTAGAGTCCCTCATTCATGCGGTGCTGCACTTGGAGCAGGTTTTGACCACAGGCAAGGAGTTTGTCCTGTTGCTGCCTTGACCAGCCCTTCCTAGCATCAGTAGAAGAGGAGGAGAAGTTCCCCATGTGTTGCAGCTGCTTAAAAAGGCAAAGGCTGCTTTTAACAGGAGTCCAGGTCACAAGGAGCAAAGGCCTGTGATGTTAGTCAGGTCCCACGTGGAATATTCTGCCTGGTTCTGAGCACCAGAGCCTAAAATGGACACTGACAACCTGAAGTGAGTTTAGGCTAGATCAGGGGTCTGCAACCTTAAACACTCTTAAGAGCGTTTGTCTGTGTCTGTCTCTCCCTCTCTCTCACACACATACACCTTCTATCTCCCTCCCTGTCTGTGTCTCTGTCTCATCTGCTACCTCCCTTCCTCCCCTTCTCTCTCTCTGTCTCTCTCTCTCTCACCTTCTATCTCCCTCCCTCTCTGTGTCTCTGTGTCACCTTCTATCTCCCTTCCTCTCCTTATCTCTCTGTCTCTCTCTCTCTCTCACCTTCTATCTCCC